CCCAATAGAATACCCAGGTGCCAACCTCGTGGTTATAACAGGAATGGCATCTGTTACCCCTCTATAATCGAGCTCCCATTGGGACTGCCTGAGTAGCGCCACGTGATAATAGCGATACTATACAATTGGAGAGGGTTCAGAAAAGATTTACCAGAATGTTTCAGAAATGGAGGGTTTGAGTTACTGGGACTTTTTTTCACTAGATCCTAGGAGGTTGAGAGGTGACCTAGGATATGGTTGTTCTAAACAAGGGGCCCTTTTTTTTTAAGGTGAGAGGAGAAAGTTTTAAAAAGGACATGACAGGCAACTTTGGTTTTACAAGGAGAGAGGTTAGTGAGTGGAATGAACTGCCCGAGGAAGTGATGTATGAGGACACAGTTACAACATTTAACAAACACTTGGATAAGTACATGAATAGGAAAAGCTTGGACGGATATGGGCCAAATGCAGGCAAGTGGGACTAGTTTATACTGGCAATATGCTCCACGTGGACTAGTCGACTGAAGGGTCCATGCTGTATAACTCTGTAAACGTTTGACTCTGTAGATTATCACCTACCTAATATCACGTGAGCATGGATCATGAGTAAATGCTGCTAAAAAAAACTAAATCAAAAGCCAGATTCAATTCTGACCCCATTGCTCCACCCCCTCCTGTATCACCATGACATATTTAAACTCTCTCATTACACTGGGAGATATGTAGTGATTCGGTAATTGTGTTGAATTGTGAGAGAAGGCTGTCAGCCGAAGCTCCTTTGCAAACCTCACGTTGAGGTTGGACTCCCCGTTTGTTTGTTGCTTTCAACCTCTCCTCCTGTGGTTCCATCGTGCTTGGCTGGTTGGAACCAGGCTGTAGTTTCTCGGTGTGAAGGGGTCTGTGCCATTCAGACTCCATCGCCAGCACTGCCTGCTGCAAATTAGCAACCCCAATGCCTTCGCTGTTCAGTGCAGTGGCCGCTTTTCTGAAGAAGGGTCTAGGCCCGAAACGTCAACCTTCCGGCTCCTCTGATGCTGCTTGGCCTGCTGTATTCATCCAGCTCACACCCATTCTCCAGCATCTGCAGTTCCTGTTATCTCTGAAACATCTTGTGTTTCTTTACCCTCGCGTGTTGCTTTCGGTGACTGTTCCCCGCCCCCCACCCACATCAGCAAATTCCGATTTCAGTATCCGGGTCGTCACCACCCTAGGTCACATATCAAGTTAAAAAACAGGCGACAGCGAAGATTCACCGAAAATATAAATAATTCTCTCCTGGTGGATGAGGGCTCAGAATGGTTTTGGTTCCAGCTATGGGCTTGGCTGTTGCTTAGGCTGTGGCTGTAGATTGAAACACCATTCTTTGTCGTGTGTAGTATACAAGTACACCAGTAAATGTCAAGAGAATTGGATAGTCATTTAAATGGGGAGGGAGTGGTGTGGGGAAATCGCAAAGGAGTGGGATTAATTGTAAAGCTGGAACAAAGAGCCAGCACAGGCACAGTGGGGCTGAATGGTCTCCTTCTGCGTTACATCATGGAGAACCAGACCAATCCGTATTCGGTTCGGCTCCTGATTGTTACCATGAGTCTGGATGCCGTTGTAACTGGAGGTTCTGGCTATATTTCTGTCGTGCCTGTGGCGAATGATGCTGATCTTGGAACGGGATGCAGTTATCAGTTCTGACCGTGGCGATGTTATAAACTCGGATAGATTATGTCTCCAGCACTTGTTGTATTTCACGGTGAGTGGGGGGCCTTGCTCCGTGTTTGGATTCAGGTGCCGATAGTTGAAAACCTGCTGTCAGAATTTAGACCATAGTCCCGGGTCACCGGGTTTGACGTGTGGACGCGATGGTGCTGTCCTGGGTGCTGAAACTCTCTCCAGCCTCTGTAACACGTCATCCTACAAACGGCCACATCGCGCGTTTGTGCATCAAACACCCGGCTCTTCATCAAAACTCAGGGCCCAATGGCCAGCGTGCTCTGAAGTTGATTTGCGGGAGGGTGCACGGTTGTTCTGGAGGATATAATAACGTGATGGACACGAACGTCTGGACACTTTCACCAGTGGCTAAAATTTTCAGCAAAGCGACGTGACAGTGAACTAACCACGCTCACAGTGCTTTCTGGTGATATCACATTCACTGAAGTCACAGAGGGAGACAGAGCTTAACCCAAAGAAATTTGTACTGTGCGTTCTTAATGTTAACTTTGACACAGAGAGGAGTCGATCTAAGCTTTCATTTAAGCAGATTCCGTATGCGTTTGCAGCGGTAATCTGTACATTTTCTTTTAAACTTGGAAGCAGGCAGTTCGGAACCTTTAAAAATACATTGACCTGCTATTTGGGAGCGTGTACTAATGATGAAGCTTCATGATTAAAGAAGTGAAGGCTACAGCCACAGATGGCATGTTTCTACTTAACTGGTTTAATCGATTCTCAGGTAGTAGAAACATCGAATAGGCAGCAACAGAGCAAAATGTAACCGGTCATTTATGATTCTGTGATCACGAGTTGAGTCGCCTTTCTCTCTCTCTGATGCCTGTTCACAGAATAGGTTTACACACTCGAAACCCTGTCCCCACCACAACCTTCGTATTAACAGAAATAGAAATAAATACGAAATATTTCTTATGACAACGTCGAGGTTGACAATAGACAGGGTGGTATAATGGTTACATCTCCGATGTGACAGAGGATTCAGGTCCCCTGCGAGTGACTTTGATGCTAACTTAAAATGAAGATGCAGTTTGACTTGTTTTAGACCAGCGCTTGTCGAAGCCGCCGTCCACATCTACTCCCCAGCCGCGCGCGCCCGCCCGCCACACCCCGCCCCGACCTTGCCCCAGTACTTGTTCTCACAGAATTAAATCCAGTTCATGTCAAATCTTTTCAGGGAATCGGGCTGCCCGTCTCCCAAAGCTCCGGTGGGAGAATCAAAGCGAACCGTCACAAACCAAAACGGGCAGGAGTTGAACCTGAAAACGAGGACGTACCGACCCCCACCATCACGGCCTGAGCGATGCGTACAGTCAAACATACGGATAAGGTGAGGGGCGAGAGTAAGAAAGGCGGTGGTGGGGTTGTTGGATGTCGGTGAGGGTTGCAGAATTTGATACTAGCAACTTTCAATCCTGAAAACGCTCCAGTAAAACGACCGTGGTCCCAAGGGACGGACGGAGATCCATGATATTATGGTGGCGTATCTCAGCTCGGAAAAAAGCAGGATATTATGTTGTGTGTGTGTGCTGGGGCTATGTCGGGAGGGAAGACACTAGTGTTTATCCTTTGATCCCGCGGCTGTCTGTTTATATAACGGATATCGCGCATATATTTTTTTAAGAAAGGGTACAAGAAGCGCCCTGCAGGGCTGGTCAGGCACAGCAGCAACGTAATGCAAGTGAATTTCATAAATGTCACATATTTGTATTGATGCTTTCAGTATTGAAGCTCCCGGACTCTGGCATGGTACAAACGGCAGCGAGAGGCTGGAAACTGTGAGGACTGACGGTCAGATTCTTGCGAGCAAAGTGGGCCTTTTGCGTTATTGATTCTTACAGAGAACTTCACTTTTCGGAGAGTGATCGAAACGTTGTCTGGTTAATGGCGGTGGGCAATTTAAGGGCAAGTTCCCACTTTCAACAATCAACTATAGGCTCCGTGCGTTTTTTTTCCAGATATATATATGAAAGCGGCCAGAATTCTTTTCTTTCTCTCGCCGCTAAAAGAGTGGAAACGCTCCCAGTGCCTTGCTCACGGTTCAGATCACTAACTTGTGACTGCGGGGAGGTAGACACGGAGCCACTGGGAAAGCAGCGCATCCAATCGATAATAACCCTGTTAGTTTTAGCGATTGTTATCAGTGTAGCACTCAATAAACATTCGCGCTTTTAATCCTAAAACTTGTTGCGCCGCCGGCCACGCCAGGCTCCGAATCCAAAACACTCCCCATCTCCACACACCCCGCCACCACCACAACCAGCCCCGCCCCGCTGGATTTCCTTACAAACACTGAGCGCTTTTAGACTTCAGCTGAAGCTGCAACTTTAACATTGACAACATGCGCATGCTGCGATTTGATGGCTGATGTTCTCGCCTCTTCCCTCCGTTAATTTATCAAATTTGTCTTGGTGAGGAGCCTAATTCCGAAATTATTTGCAAATAGAAAGCGCTAATTGGCATCAGTTATTTTCACACCTACATTTCAAATATTGAATCGTGCCTCCGATACTCCTGAGAGAAGTTCGCCACTGCTGGTTCCTGTAATGAACTACCAACTGTAACTATGCATGCGAAAAGAGTTGATTAGCAGCATCAATTTGCTCCTACTGCTTGCACCTCACAATTGTGGCTATTCAAGCCGGTTGGCGCACTGTACTGGTTTTAGCCTGGACTGCCCTTCATTACATCGTTTATTTACCATTTTAAGCTAACCCTTTCCATTTGCGAATGGGCACGGTTTGACCCAATAATTTGATATAACGGAGGGGACACCGGCTGTACTTCCACGCACATCTATCTCTTAACTCTCTGCCTCTTATGCAGGTGTCATGTTTACTATAAAGACGCCGTCCCACAGCAAGCATGTCTTTTTCTTAAAAAAACAAAATTCAGCACTGCTTAATATGACTGGCACGTTAACTTCATGTGGAATCAAATAAAAAGTTAAAAGTCTCCGGAAAACCTCATCTTTTTTAAAAAAAACAACAAAACATACACCATCGCATGGGGGGGGGGGGGGCAGGGGGGCTGGGTTACAAGGTTAGCTCTGTCAGTAAAAACGGTCACAGCGTTTGGGTAGCCCTCCCTGCGCCGAGCGAGGAAGCACTGGACCGCTGTAAACAAAACTGGGCATTTTAATTCCTATCAGTGGAACAGGGCACATCACTGTGAGCTCTGACCCAGGCACACGGACCGGTCGCGCACACAAGTTTCGCAAAACTGCGTTATTCAAGGAGAGCCCAGAAATTGCCGGGGGGAAGGGGTGGGGGGAAGAGTAAAAAAATGTAAAATCTTACCAAATCTTAAAACGTGCGGCATTCCTTGAGAATATCCCATCCACAACAAGCACAGGAAAAATCTAGTCGAGCACTCAAAGACCAGGTTGTTTAGAAACGGACAGATAATCTTCATGATTTCTTGTATTGAGATCAATTCCAGCGGTTTGATTCCTCCGGCCCGCCTTCTCTCGGGAGCAGCTTCCACGCTCGGATTCGATCGAGGGGCGAGCAAGGAGCGATCGGAGGGCCCGGGGACAGGATCACGACATGGTCACAAGAGAGGGACCCGAGAAAGAGTAGAACCCATTAGCAATCCCCGCATGTTCTTCGTTCATTCACTGCGCAGAGGAGCACTCTTCCGCTGCAAGGAATGGCGGGACATCCCTGCTTTCCTCAGAATCTGAGCTTCTTGGAGAAATCCATCCACAAAAGTCCAGCTCGGCGGCGCTAAAGGGGGGGAGGGCAGAGGGAGAGAGAGGAAGAGAGGAGGGGATGAAGTGTCGGAGGGAGGGGGGAGAAGTGGGAGGGGAGATCGGCACACAAATTGGGAAAAAAAAATCAAATCCAGTGGTGAGAATCAATACCGAACGCTTCACGCCGTCAAACCATATAGAAGAAAGACATATAGAGCATCCCACTGCACTGCACACACACACACACTCACACACAGCCTTCTGACGTGGAGCGTGATAGAGCAGACACACAGACAGACAGAGACAGAGCTAGCTCACTACCGCTACTGACCACACATCCCGAGGAGTTGGCATCTGTCATGCAAATAACCCGGCGTCCCCTTGGGTCCCCTGATAGCTCGTTCAGTCACTCTTATTAAAATCCTATTAAGACCGGTGAGCGGATAGATCTCTGGCCCCAGATCAACAGTATACAAGCGAGAGAAATAAAAAAGACACACACACATAAACACACCTTCTGAAATGGAATTGAATGCAAGGCCAGCACCGGTTAAGAGTGAGTGAGCAATGCGATCGCGATAGTGCTGTAGTCTTGCAGCTGTCGGCTTTGGCGGGGGGGGGGGGGGCGCAGTTGGTGGGTGAACGACGCAGAAAGGCTGAAGTTATTTTATTAACCGGCCCATCGAGAAGCAGTTTAGGAGCTGGGTCTTGGAACAACAATTCTCCTGCATTGTGCCAGTGTCACATGTCACTTACAGAAAAGTCACCGCGGCACACTGTCTCCTGGAGAGTCACGGACGGACAGGTCAGTTCGGGGACTGGTCAGAAAGCGGGGAGACCTGCTGACAAATGCGCCGATGACAATGAAGAGCAGCTTGATGAATGGAGCGGGATTCAGTGTATGGGCTATGTGGCGAGAAGGGGAGGGAGAGGTTTGAAACTTCCAGACACTGTTGCATTTGGATGGAAAAGCCGGCGCACGAGGGCTCAAGCTCTCAACATTTCGCGGGTTCATTAAGCCAGTCCCGAGCTCCCGGAGGTGGATGTAAATCCAGTAATGTCCCATTCGTTCTGCGGCCCATTCACAGCTGGAGGGAACCCACTGGTATGACATCTTGCTACCTTGGAAGGGTGGCGACCGTCTTTCTTTATACTACAAACCTTTGTTTTTCTAATTCTGACACTGCACGGTCAGTAAGACGAGTTCACCTATTTGCCAGCCCGATCTATCCAAACAAGTTCACCTCACATTAAAGCAGAGCTACAGAGAGCCTATAACATAGCGCTTTCAATTCTTATCCACGGCTGAACGGCTACATGGTTTGCTAAACTGGCTACTCGGTAGCCAGCCTGTATATTCGGGATTACTGAATGAGCTGCAAAAGGTCATGACATTAACTGTCTTTATACAATCACAGGACACTACCCAAAGGAGTCTGCCTCGCTCCAATCTCACATTTTGACATTTTAAACGTGTCGCGTTGCTGCTTTATGCTGTTGAAATTGAAAGGCCAAATATCATAAGTGATTGGGAATTTAGAGGAGCAGACTCGAAGGCAGCAGCAGGTCAGAGTGTCTGCAACAGGAGCGAGCTACTGGAGCAAGGGCAATGAGAAGCTTTGAAGTGAAAACAAGAATTGGAGCGACCCCTTCCGCTCACATCGTCAACTGCAAGCTCCCGTCCTGACGAAAAGCTTCCTTTTTTAAAAAAAACGAGTAGGCATACAACGCTTTATTCCGCAAATTTGGGGATTTTTTTTAGAAGAGACCCCAACGCCAGTGAAAACACGGATCTGATATATGCCAACACAGCACCGATAAGAAACAAAAGTTAAAAACTGTAAAAGACTTTCAGAGTCGCACATTCAGACCGCGCGGATGTACAAATGTAACTGCTTGTGGGGTTTCACTTGCATTGGAAAGGAACGAGGGGGCAAATCTGTAGCGCGGGGGGGGGGGGGGGTTTATTGCAAGAATTTACCTCCCAATCTCTTCTGCCAAATGCTGTTGTTCAGCTCGAGTAAAAGGGCGCAGCATATGTGAGCCAGGAAAATGCCTACAAAACCTACCTCAGCAAGAAGTGAAATCAGCTCGGGTTCTCGGCTCGCTCCGGAGCGGAATATTAAAAAAAAACAGGCGGAGAGGGTTCGACCACCTTGTTTACTCATTGGCGGGAGTCTGCCGACTAAGATGTGGAATTGTGTATGTGTGCGGGAGGGGGAGTCTGTGCCTTTACGGATCCTAATTTACAATAAGATGTGGAGGGGGGCGGGGGGGCGGAGGCATTGGAAGGAAATGCCAGCCAAGTGCCTCCTGTCAGTGACTCACTAAATAAAACATCGCGTAGAAGTCCTGTGGGTACACAGTGACCCGCGCTGGGATGTGAGCCCCGAACCTGTACTTATGTGGAAACTCAGTCTCCCCACCCACCCCCCGACACTTCATAGAACGACCGCCCTTTCTGGTTTCACCGCCAGTCTGTCCCTTCTGGTTCCCCACTCTACCCCCTCCAACTTGCTGCACAGCTATTGACAACAGTGTGGCCAACTAAACCATCTTCCTCTGTAAATCGCCCTCTGTACCTGAGAGCCGCCTGTGTGTGTGTGTGCGTGTAATCCCCTGAGCATGATGTTCAGCTCATTCCGAAAGGGTGACAGAGGGAGCTCGATTGCAGTCACGATCTTACACAGATACCATATATATTGAGAGAGACAGAAGGGGGGATGGGGGGGGTGAGATAAAACCAGTTAGCACTCACATTAGCGTCAGGAACTGCAAGCCGGGCGGTGCAGGAGCAAGTGAACTGTGTGTGTGTGTGTGTGTGTGTGTGGTTTCCCCCCCCCCGACCCAGTGACTGAACGGATCACCGTGTTTCCCAACTCCAGAGCGGTTTGGACTTCCCTCCAGCCCCGCTTGGAAAGTACACGACGCGTTTCTCTGAAGAGACCGCACACGCACTTTGTGTGTGTGTGCATGAAGAATGGAGTCTTGTCATTCAGCCGGTTCAAGCAGAGCCAAGTCAGCCTTGGCCGACTTTGCCAGCGGCCACGACTAGAGGGGCATGTTCAATGAGCTGGCCGCCAGCGAAGGAAGACAGAGCATCCTTATGTACGGTGCACACAGTGAGCGCTTCATGCGCATTGTTAAACAGAGGGGGACCGCTTTCCGGAGAAAATCACTTCATTGGCCTGGCCTAGACTCCAATCAATCCACAAAACGCGCTCTGATCTGTTGCATCTTTTCACGGGGCGAATGCAAAAAAAATACGCTTCAAGTGCCGCCACTCATTTTGAAAGATGCAATCAATCCATCTCCCCTCCCTTTAAGTAGATCCTCTCAAAATTGGACCACTAAGTATATTTCCAACAAGATTAATCGCGGGCGTAAATTGATGTTTGGTTTTATTTGGCGGGAGAGGTAAAGACAGTGCTTCGTTACCGAGAAAAGCAAAAGCTAATAGAATCGCAGTTTAAAATGCTGGCAAATGCCCTTTTCCTCATGTTACCTCAGGTTTGAGAGCTCGACGAGCCTCTTTTACTTCTTAGACAGTTTGTGGACGCACTCTCCCAGGCTAGTGTCCCGTTTACACAGCGAATCGCCTCGATTTTAATTCCAGAGCCATCCGAGCGGACTGGGGATCACAGCTCCAATCTGCAAGAATATGTACGTGTGTGTGTGAGAGAGAGAGAGAGAGCTGAGGGCATGAGCATTCCCAACAAAGGGCTGGGTTAATGGATCAGCACTGGCCAACCAAACCACCTCCCCCCCCTTCACACATATGAAATCCCCCTGATTTTCAACCCAAATGGAGGCCATTCGGCCGGTTGAATGGGTGATATTTTTAACCAAACATAATTCGGTTGCACCGACGTACCGTATTTGCTTCAAGAACAAGGGACCACTGTAACCTGAAGTAACGAGCAAGTGGATAAAACCGTCGAAATTTGAAATAAAAATGTTCTACACAGGAACGTGCTGCGCAGTGGTAGTGTCCCTACCTGTGGGCTAGAAGCTTCAAATCCCACCCTACTACGGAGGTCTGTCGTCACATGTCAGTACAGGTTGTTTCAAAACAAAAAAAATACTATACGAATGTGAAATAACTTTCTGTATAAGTTAAACGCTCTGGTCACAAATTCAAATGGTGTCTGGAGTTGTACCAGCGAGTTTGCAACTGTTTGCACTGTATAGCGAGACGGCAAGGGTGAAAGCACACGAACGCCCCACTCCCACCCCTTTTATGTGGTTCTCCAGGACCCCAGGAATATGTTGGGCTCTTCCAGTCATGAGCTGGTGAACCCTCAGGACCTGGCAGCCGGGAGAGGCCTCTTAAACTGATGCACCGTGCTACACTCGTTAACCCTGTTCAAGGGGAGGGTCCCGAGATACTGACTGAATCAGATGACAGTGCAGGAAGATGAAACAGAAATTAAGGTTTTACTGGAAGGGTCTCTGAGCTCTTAAATTGTGAACCAGCGCGAATTAAACTGTTTAACAGGCCACGGCTAGGTAGGGAGGGATGCAGAGAGGGAGAGAGAGAGATCATATGACGAGGTCTCCAGGAATGCCTATCCCAAGTGGCAACCCTACTCTTCGGGAGGTGTCAGAGCTGGGCAAAGAGTTAACTGCCAGAGGATTAATGATCCCTTGGCTGGGAGTGGAAGGACCTTCAAACTAGGAATCTGTATCCCCGCATCGTGGAGTCGGCTCAGGGGAGAGA